TATTATGAACTGAATATTAATAATACAATAACTCAGAATTATGTGACCTTCAAATTTTATTAATATTACATACTGCATGCTTTGTGACTCATTGCAACCCATACATACCTTAGTTAGCTTATTTTATTTGCTGTCTGTGGAACATTTTTTGCCATCATTTGAGTAGGATTATATTTATGTTGGCAAAATTATATTACATCTAATATGTTTAATTCACAACTTTTTTCGATTATATGAAGAGCAAGACCCCCTAAGATGATACATGACAAACGCATAATTCATACATAGTGAATTTAAATTTCTGAGCAATAAAGTTACTCTGCTTTTTTCGATTTATTATACGCTTACTTTTATGTAACTACCAATTTAAACAATTTGGGCTGAAAATAATTTCAAGAATTTTTCCATTAATAAAAAGCAATAACGACGCGTTTTTTCATTTTCTTTCACTTTATTACATCCATCGATTCTTCTAAGCATAAACAATTACAGAAAATGAATAATAATATTAAAATATCATATATATATATATTGTTCATTGTCTGAGAACAATCTTTGTAACTTATTAAAAACATGTTAATATATCATTATGCTATACTCAATTAATTTCTGTTAGTCGTACACACAAGTCAGATCTTCAAACATATTTTTCCATTAACTTGAAAAATTACTGTTAAACTGAAAAATACCAGAAAAAAAATATATTTCAAGCTAGTAATATCTATTAAAGTCATGAAAACAAAAGCATCACTTCTATTTGTCATGGCAGTTTCACTTTAGTTATGAATTTATCAAACTTTTTTGGCAACAATACAATCCCAGTCTTAAAACAAAATCCATTCGCATCCTTCAAACACTCACTCATCCATCGTTCAAAAAATATCCACAGTAATTTGTTTTAACAAGTACACGTCACTTGAAGCACGTTTTAAAACAAAACATATTTAACCAAAGTCTTCACAATTCAGAGAAGTTCAGGTGAACCATTGTTTTCTTGTAGTAGTTGATTATCAGTTGATAACTCCAGCTGTTGTTCCTGGTAAATACATTTCTCCTACTAATGCAACGAAATTATGTTTTCTTCTTACTTGTTAACAAACATATCATCGCTATTGTGAAGGTTTTTAGTAGTATTTAAAACGTTAAAGATCGCTGGTGAATGTTTGGCTTAAATATGGATAATATACATTGCTGTTTGTCAAACTGCAAAACTGAAATGCAATACGCTTAATATATTTACAAAACTTAAAACTAAATAAACAGTCAAGATGACCAAAGAAAAATATAAAATCATGAATGAATGAAACAAGTTTAATTTTTCGGTTTTTTCTTAAATAGCTATTATTAGGCTAAATCAAAAACATGGCTGTCAGTAACATCAAAATGGACCAATATCAGATTTGAATGAAAATTTAAGTGGATCTTATATAAATTACTTATTACATGTCTGTCATAATTTTTAAAATGGCGACCACAAACGTGTGGAAATCTATATGCTAATCACAATACATTTTCTGTGTTAATTATTTCTGAGCATACTGTATTGTAACTTTACAAAAATATCTGTTCTTATCTTTACTAATAGTAGTTTGAGGTCGTGTAATGGAGGAATTGCTTATTGTTAATTCCAGCTAGGCCATAAGAGTAATCTTTACCTGAAAAAATAGGATTGTCCATATCTAGGTCTTACAGCAGCTGGTGATATGACACCCCACTCACACTCTAAATAAGGAACAGGTAACGGGAAGCTCGAGGTTTATTGACTTGCTCTCTATCTTTCCTTTTGTTTACGATTTCTGCTGTTGTAAGAGAAAATACTACATCTACAATATATTTATATTTTCCTTCCCGCTTATTTTTCCATATATGAAATCATTTTTGTGTTTCTATTTTTGTCAGAAAAAGTTTGCAGTTTCCCATTTTACTCTATAATGTCTTACATAAGACACGCGTTAATGCAGTACTGTGCAAATGTGTTAGGACAAAGTCAGAAATTAGATTTCAGGCTACTTTCAAAGAACAATGGAAGGTAAATCACAGGTGAAGCATCAAAAGTTTATTAATTTTCATATTTAGTACAACAGAAACTCAGTGGAAGTGCTTGAGTTCAGCAAACAGTTAATATTTTGTGTGCCCCCCTTTTGCTTTAATAACTGCAGACAGTCTTTCAGGCATTATTGCAACATATTTAATCAAAGTGGAAGTAACTTTTGATATGTCAAGTTTTTGATCTATCAAATCCCAGACCTGCTCAATTGGGTTGAGATCGGGGCTCTGTGGGGGACATTGCATCATTTGAATGTCTCCAGCAACTTCTTTCTTAGCTAAGTAATTTCTGCATAGGTAGGATGAGTGTTTGAGGTCATTATATTCTCGGTAGTAGAATCCTTTATCAATAATACGCAAACCACTGGGTATATCAGACGCATCAGTGTATGATGGTACTTGCACTGGTCCATTATCCTTTCTATTTTGCAAATATCTCCTGTTGCCTCAGCAGAAAATTACTCCTAAGCCATCACACTGCCTCCCCCATGGTTCATGGAAGGTGCTATGCATTGAGGTAAGTATCTTTCACCTTTCTTACGCCGGACGTACAACCTACGCTTTGAACCAAATGTTTCAAACTTGGACTCATCCGTCCATAACAGTCTCTTGACAATATTTGAAGATCAAAGTAAAGGTTTTTTAGCCGCTACACGACCAAATATTCCATTCTCGTCGAGTCTTCTTGATACTATAAATCTGGACATTTTTCTGTCATTTGGTACATGGTCGTTTATCTCATGCTTGAGATCAGTGGCAATCTTCCTTCTGTCCCGAAGTTGTATAAACTAAGATACTTAACATCAGTATCATTGAGTTTAGGTGTTCTGCGTCTTCCTTTCCTATTTTTAAATTTACCTGTCTCGGTTTCACGATCTAGGTGTACTTGACAGTGTTTGGAGATAATTTCAAGTCTGCAGCAATTTGTAGGAGAGTCCAAACAGCTTTTATGCGAGCTCTGCTCTACTGACAATTCTCTACGTTTTGGGGCCGTGGCATGACAACAAAACTTAATATATAGCGTTAAACTCTGTTTTTATCAAGGTTTATTTGTGGAGTGTTATTAAATTGATTTCTTCCAGCATATACTGGTACCATATGCTAGCTCCTTGCTAGCTTCTTTCTATATAGTTAAGACCCTAAGTTTGATTAGTATGTTCATTCAAACAGAACCATTATGACATGTCCTTGGTACAAGTATATGGGAATTCTAAAGAATGATAAGTATTCTCACCCTGGCTCATTCAGTTGTCAACAGGGATCAGTGAAGCATTACCATAGTGTTGAAATTTACATTCTGTAATGGCATGGAAGAATTAGCCTCACAAAATGGAAAGAATGACAAAATATTCTCTTGCCCTAACACGTTTGCACAGTATTGTAAACTAACCCGTTTGTTTCATAACACATTTTTTATGTACTTAGCCTATATTCAGGTTTGAATTTACACTTGCAAGATTCCTTATGCCAGAACTACTTCCCGTTCTTCGTTAATGATACAAAGGGTACGATAGACGCTACTTTAAAACCCAGTTCAATGAAATGCTTTACCACCAAAGGTGCGTGTTGTCTCCAACAGTCAACAGGCTGTCTTTGTAACACGAACCAAAGTTCCTGTATTATTTACTCAGAGAAACATATGACTACCCCTGTGACATATTGGGTAGATTATGTTTGTGAGTATTACCCTAATAACTAATTCTAAATAGTCAAAATTTACGCAACTTTAGTTGCTTTTGGAAACAAACTGTTTATCACTTCAAACCATTATCTTAGGATCAACACACCTGTCTACTTTCCACCAAATATAGACTGTTTTTGTATTAGCCTTTTCCTACATTTTATATATAATATATGAAAATAGACCATTTTGTACATTTTTTTTACCGTGTAAAGTCATTGCACGTTTTGTTTTATGTCTAATGCTACATAACATTGTCATTGTTGAATATATCTGCTCTGTTCTAGTTCTGTCTGGTGTCCTTTGTTCAGTAGGTATATTCCGTTTGTTTTAAAATTTACAGTGTCCTTTAAAATAAAGAAGTTGTGTTTCCTTTTAGCTGACCAACTGACTAACACAGTAATTATAAACTTTAATACAAACAAAGTTTATTTGTGTTGTTTTGTAAAGTTAAAGAACTCCAGTCTTTCTTTGAACATTTCATCGAAACTTGTGGGTCAACTTTACCTTTCTCTACATCTTACCTGTTAGCCAAATCCTTCTTTCGTATATTTTTGTGACGGCAACTTACCTATACGACCAGTGGTTAACTAGGAAGACCACGAGTAATTTCTTCTGGGAACTGCAACAATTCAAACCGCCATCGTCACCAAGTTTTTATGGGTAAAACAGTGGACCTTTCCCAAAAGGTGAGAGTGTTGTGTATTATCTTTTAAGAAACTATGACTGTGTTCAAAACATATAATTTTTATATTAAAACCATGTCAAATATGTACGTGTTTTACAAGATATTTCAAGAGTTTCAAAATTACATGAGACAATCATATTTCAACAATACAAAAACACCAAGTTAACTACCTATGCATAATCATCTAAGTGATACTAAGCTTTCACAAAATAATAAACAATTCAGTTATCTTTCAATATTGCACTTGTTTTCAGTATACAGTATGTAAATTATCGTGATATAATATTTTGGTCAACATTCATATTATTTCAATTATAACAGTTTATTCGATGTTATCGTACTACGAGTTCAAATACCTTTAGAAGTCTCACAAGCATCATTAAATTTTTAGAATAAATATTTCTAAATCAGCTGATGAGTATTTGTAAGAACGTAACCTAATATTAATGAAATTTTTTTCATTATACAAACAAAAAAGTGTTTCCATATAAAGTTTATTTAATTTGTCGTTATGGAGAAGGATAATAGACCAATCAATGTCGAGCAGGTGTTAGTGTTAGTAAAGCACTAGACACAATTTTTTTTTCAAACAGACAAAGCTCTTTATTTCACAATAATAACACTGTATCCAGAAAACTCAGTTCTCTCATAACAGCTAGAATTATACTAACGACTCTCTGCTCAAGAGAAGTCTACAGCTTTTAACTTTTCATCAGTCTTGATATCACACATTTAAATTTTAAATTAAATAAAAAAATCCAGTAGCACAAAAAAAAAGATAATTTTTAAAAACTCAAAGTGTTTCTGATGAAAAAAAACAACAAAAAGATATAAATTTCCACAAAATATTGTCTTATAAAATGTTTAAATAAATTATTTGGATGAAGAAAACTTGGAAGGAATAAATTAAAAGTGTAAGGTTGTTAACGTTTTAATTAAACTTTTTTTTATTTTGGAGGGCTGTAGATAACAGGTCTTTAAAGGGACGGAGTCACGGCGAAAATATATTCAAACTATATCCTTTCGAAGGACCACTCTAAGGTCATGTACTAGATACTATGTATATATTAATTAAGTCAACTGGGTTCCTTTGTGACTCCGTTTCTTTAATTTTACTGACCTTACATTTAACATGAAGATTTAATTTTCATGTTGTGTCGAAAGCATTGCTCCAGTTTTATAAAGAGTGTACTCCGAAATTCTTATAGTATCATAATATCCTTTCTATTGTTATTAGTTTAGTAGTTATGTAAGTGTAGGATTTGGCTTTCGCTGTGCACTTACAATAGAATATGCAGTGAAAGGAAATATTTAGTATCAAATGCAACAACAAAACTTATGAAAAATCTTAATCTGATTTTGAAAATATATCGCTTTTAGTCACGGGTAAAAAGTTAGTGTAATTATCCACTCTGATCAACTATTTGTACAAATCACGAAACAATGCTATATCATTCCTTGGGTGAATGTTTTAAAATCCTGCCTACGAAATTATAATTCGAAAGAACAAGATTCTCCAAGTTATACTCATCGTCATCAATAATTATAAAAACGATTCTAACAATAAGGTCTGGCAAACATTCTTTTTCTCTTTCACTGGCAACTGATCAAAGATTAATACATCAATTACAACGTTTTTACGTGGTTAGACAAAATGCGGGACATACTTGTGTTTATAAGTTTACAGTTAACGTGTTTTGATTACAATAATAATACAAATAATTAACAGGTACAGAAACAGCTAGATCCACTGCTCTACGAAATCCAATTATCATCACTTCACATACATATATAACTCAAATTATCTGATTTCTGTGAAACCAGTATTTGTATCAGTATTAAAATTTGCCACAAAAAGAAAAGCAGAAAAGCAACATCACAATGAAAAATTTGATGGCTAATACAGTAATGAGCAACTGTCAAAAATTGCTTTTTATCTTGCTTAGGGTGTTTTGATTCTGTATTTTAGCTTTAATAATAATTTTGAGGTGACGCAGTTTGTATGTGTTTGTCCCATTATTGCGAAAGTCATAAAGTCAACTCAAATGAAATGTCTCATGGCGACAATAAAACGGCCTAACGTCTCTTTTGTTGCTGAAAATACAAGAAATATATCTTGATAGCACCGAACTCTGTTAACAAACACAATATGTTCATTTCTCATCAAATGGTATACAAAAAAACCCCTTATATTTGACTTTAAACGTCCTTCATTGTTTCAGACTTCGGTACCATCTCCTCCCCCCTCAAGGTTTTCAGATGTTTTGTCCCCTTTATCATCTGAGATTACATCTGAAATCGGTCGGAAGTAAGCTGAAGGGTTTTCGACCTGATGTGGATGAAACAACAAATCTGGAGTATTTCCTTCCGAATGTAGAGGAGATAGAACGCCGCCTTTGTTATCATTCACTGGATTCTTTTTCTGTGGTTCTTTGATTCCAGGTTCAGATGTCTTAAGGTTATTTTCAAAACCCGTAGCTTCCAGCTCTGAACTCCCATCTCCACGTTCTCTTTCAAATGATTTTCTTTCACCTTTTCGTCGCAAGGTATCGGCCAATTCATTTTGCAGGCGTGAGTGAAGGTCGCCTTGGGGAACAGGCATAGGGACGGTAACAGGGCTGCGGGTGTTTAATCGTTTCTCCATTTGGGAAGGAGGAGGAGGAAGACGAAAAGTAGATTCTGGACTAAGAGGACTTTCCCAGGTTGGGTTAGGGAGTATATGGTCGTTCATTTCCCACACACGAGGAGGCAAACCAATATCACCCCCCCTAGAATCGTATGTATCCGTTTCTGAAGTTGGTAGCTCCTCATATGCACCAAGTCTAGGGGGTATCTTCACTGTGGTGACTGCAAGAAGTTTCAAGTCAACGTCTTCTTGCGGTTCTTTAGCGTCAAGGCTACCGACTGAATTACCTACTTTGTGACTGATGTCTTGTCGTTTGTGGCTACCTGGTTTTCGTTGCCTCCTACGTAATATCCACAACAAAAGAGCAAATATGAGTAACACTAGAAGAGCACCAATCACAATTCCAATTATCATTCCTGTTGCAGACCCTCTGTCATCTTCTTCTTCTTCCTGGTCTTTCACTGTAGAATCTTTCTCTCTCACTTCTTGTGGCTTCTCTCTGTCTGTTATTTTTTGTTCAGTGACGGGGTGTCGAGAAATAACAAGAGTAAAGTTTTTAGTCCGAATACCTGCTAAATTTTCGGCAACACAAGTATAAGTTCCAGCGTTTGGATCTTGTACAAAAGTAATCTTTAAACGAGATAGTTTTTCTCTGTGTCCTGTCTCGCTAACAACAAACGTCTGTTGTGAGGAAATCCCTTCAGAAATGTTTGCAATTGTTCTTTGCCTCCACACCCACTTAACGGTTGGACTAGGATCTCCTTTCACTCTACATTCTAATGTGACATTCACATTTTCATAGACATTGAATACACTTGATGTATTGAGAAACTGTGGAGGACAAGAGAAATCATCAATTCTGACAAAATTCCATGTTTTATCTTTAATATGTAAGGGCTGGTGGCATATTGGAGGAGTGTAAGGTATGTTGTTTTCATCTAACCATTGTCGAAAAGTACGAAGTTCACAGTCACATCTCCACGGGTTGTCATATAAAGAAATATCATTTAAAGATTTCAGAGGTATCATAGTTTTACCTGAAACAGTCTCTAGGCTATTGTAATCGATTCTTAACACTTGAAGATTTTCTAAACCATCAAAAGCTTTTGCTGCTATGGTATGTATGTGACATTTTGATATCTCTAAGACCGTTAAAGATTTAGCAGAAGAAAAAGCGTGATTAGGCAGGGTAGATAAGGGGTTTCCACTAAGCTTAAGCTCTCTGAGTCGTGGAACGTGAATGAAGCTTGCAGATGGAACAATGGTAAGTTTGTTAAAGCTGAGATCCAGCTCCACTAAGTTAGTCAACCGATTAAACGCGTATTCATTAACCTGATCTATGTCACAGTGAGCTAAAAACACTTTTTGTAGGTTAACCAAGCCCACCTGAAGAAATGCATCACGGTGCAAAATGTGAATTATATTCCTGGATATGCTCAGTACCTGCACACCACTGTCCAGTTCGGAGGGCACTGCACTGAATCCAACCCCAGAACACTCAGCTGTTTGCTTTCCGTTCCTCCAGATACAGTTACACTTTGGATTGCAACTGAAGGCACTGGTCACAACCAGAACGCTCCACGATACAAGGAACACAACTGACACTCTCATTATCCAATGACTGCTAGAATAAACCATTGAAACTAGTCAAAGAAAAACACGCCAGGATAACTTACATTACCACTAACGTTGCAAAGACTCCTTCTAAAATATATTTCTCCTTGTCTCTAGTAGCATACATGATTTTGCCTACATCTTCTATTTTAAGTAAACTGGACTCCTCTTGATGAATGGCCTCGAAGTGGTTGTAATGAATCGCCCTAAAACAAAATTAAAACTATTTAGATAGTGCAGGTTATCGTTCATAAATATTCAGTTTATGCAACGGGAAGTTAATTGCTTCCTCAAATAATTCAGGAAATTTCAAATTCTAATTAATTACCAAAATGCAATACAAAATAACGTATCTGACAAGCTATAGGAAGGCGATAACTTTAACACGCAAGTTCATTGATGAAATAGATCATCTGAAAATCGTTACAATGACCAACATTGCAGGTCTCAAGAGAACTTAAACAAAAACATTATGCATGAGATCAACCAATTGAGAATGTTATAATGATGGGATATACCAAACGTGGACGTGTAAACATGTTGATGATATGACAATAATTGCAAAATTTGAAGATGTTTCAAATTGCGTTTGAAAAACAAATATTCCGCATTTATACATTCCTATTTCCATTTCAAAGAATGTTAATTGCATATATGTATTATAATGTTAATTTGGGCCAATAATACGAAGACTTTAGAAATATTTATAATTGCCAGCCCAATACATCATAGAAAAGTGGATTGTGTAACTGCAGCAATATTCATATACAACTATATAACTTATTACCAAATGAAGGTTACAGTAGGCTGTACTTTTAAGCATTAAAACTAATATATATATATATATAATTACTAGTAAATACTAATTTCAACCTTAAGCTTTATATAGTTTTATTGTAAACTTTACTTTAAGGTACCAAAGAACAAAACAAATCAAAGAAATCATTGTAAGTAAGACTGAAGTATTATTCTTAATAAAACCCCTCGTTGGCAGTGGATATGACAGATTTGTGGCATGACCTGATGGTTAAAGCGCTCGACTCGCATTCTTCGGGTCGCGGGTTCAAATCCCGTGAACAAAGATGCTCGTTCTTTCAGCCGTGGAGGCGTTATAATGTGACAGTCAATCCCACTTTTTGTTGATAAATGAGTAATTCAAGAGTTGGTGGTGGATGGTTTTGACTAGCTACCTTCCTTTTAATTTATCACTTCTAAATTAGGGGCGGATAGCGGTCGTAGCCCTCGAGTAACTTTGCGCAAAATTCAAAACAAAAAGCTTAATATATTTTTTTCCTTTGTTTGTTAATATTTAAAGTATTTGACAACAGTTTTTATTCAGATAATTACTTTTTGGGTTAACTACTAACAGATTATGAACATCTCAAACTTAAACAATTACTTATGGCTTCTACTGCAGTAAATGTTTTGAATATTACTTATGAAACTTTATTTTAAATGCATTTTAAGGAGTAGGGACATAATTATTGGTGGTAATTAATTGTGTACTTACCTCTTAAATGGCTTGTTTATTTTGTGCTCTTCTCACGACGGGCATCGAAACCCGATTTCTAGCGTTATTAGACCTCAAACTTACAGCTGAGCCATCGAGGGGAGGGGACACCTCCTAAACGGAAAGCCGAATTTACAAAACGCTTTAGGATTCATCTGTTAACGTAAAAAAATGTTTGAATGTTTTTTGTTCACGATATATTTTTGCAACATCGATTTATTTTTTAAAAGGAACAAGGAATTAAATATTTATCATGTTACAGAAATTCCGTAGAAATCGTGTACTGTAAGTTTGAATGCGACATACGCACGAGCAAATCACCTTGAATTGTGTTCGATGCTACAATATTAATGTTTGATTGAAAATATCCTAAGTTAAGGTTTCAAACGAAATAAAACTTGGCATCATAGTACTTAAAATAAGAACTCACAAGGCTTAATGCCTTAGTGTAATGTACATACCATTTCTAAATAGAAATAAATACAGTTAAGTGATTCTCTATCCAATCGATGATAATTTTTTCATAAATTAAGAAAAAAAGTAAACTCAAATTTCTTCCAACTCCTGAAAGAGATGTAGGTACATTTAAGAACAATTCTAACACATGAAGTATGCTTTCAAGACAAAGTAGTGAATTAGCACAATACAGTAATTCTAAAATAATTATTGAAAGCGCTGATCTTATATGTATAATTTTGAATAGCAATTGGAATCGAAAAAAAAAACGTTTTTCGAAGAGCAATCCTATCATCATAAAGCAGTTATGGTGAACGTGTGTTTACCTAGTTTACTTGCCAATTATATATGCATACGCTGAGTAATAATGGTTTTATTAAAGTTCAAGCTCCCCAGTGGCTCAGCGATAATCGGAAGGCTTATAACGTTAAAAAACGGGTTTCGATACTTGTGGTGGGCACAGCACGGATATCTACTTGTATAGCTTTGTGCTTAATAACAAACAAAACAAATATATTACGTTTTCTATATTAATGACTTTTTAAACAAATTTATGCGGTACCTTTAAAACTTGCTAGTTGTATTGGGCTGCGAGGAACTCGCAAAGGATATATACATCTATATTTATATATGGTCAATTTCCTAGCAGTTTCAATGAAATAAACAAAGGCAATGTAATTAAAGATTACATATACAATGTAAGGTAACAGAAAGCAGTAGGTACAATGACTCTAAGTGGTAAAAACAGCAATGCATCATTCCTCGTTGGGATAAGTTGTGTAACGTCAAACAAGGGCAAGCTTCTTACTTATTGTTAAGTAAATACGTGTATTTACTTTATCATATTATTATAATTGCTACATTTCTGCAATCAAGTATGTCCCTTCTTTTCTTGTAAGTCTGTTTGTTTAATGGAGCGTGTCTTGGACAGAGATTATAACGTTCAGGCCTCAATCTAAAAAAGGATGGGAATCACTGGCCCAGAATGTAAAAGGATAATTTTACGTTAATAAGCGGTATAGATGTGTTTTTGGATCAGAAGGTTTGAATGTGGATATCACAAATGTGGGAAGTAACCGAAAAAAAAACAAAGAAAAGGCAATGGGGGGTCTGTTTGTATTAACTTCGCTTGGAAGTTTAAAAAGTTAAAATACATATATATTCACACAAAATTACACCAAACTGTAACATAATATAGGATACTGTCAATACCCTCTGAGAACGAAAGCGTTATTTTCACATTTATAAATCGTTCTAAGTAAGGGTTCGGTGTTTTGTCTAGTTACACCCCCCCCCGTTTTTCTAATTATTAATCAAGTATTCATAATTGTTCCAGTACAAATGTTAATATGCTAAATTAGGTACAAGTGTTCTTGGCAAATAGAAAAAAGTAATTTCGATTAAATTTTATTATAGTGCCAGAATGTAATAACATTTAGAGTAAAAAACAAAAACAAATGTGTTCAGTAAATAGCATAAAAGTTTTCACACTACACCAAGAGTTGTAACAAGCAACCCCAAAATTACTCGTCAACCAGGAGGAGCCAATAACCATTGAAATGAATTAATAATAACACAACGTTTAAACATATTGATAAACATATAAAAAACACGACTTTCAGACCAATTCGGTCTTAATACATTCTCTGGATGATTATCAAAATTCTTTATATATATTATGAAATTCTTAAAAACAATATAGCCGAAGATATAAAGGATAAAGTTAAATATATGTAAATTTACAGTTCACGTGTTTTGATTACAATAATAATACAAAATTAACAGGTACAAAAACAACCAAATGTATTTTGCAATTTAAAATTAATAAAGACATAACTACCACTTCCGTATCTTCAAGGATATTCCGAGTTTCAAAAGTAAAGCACTTTTTTACACAAGACATAAATAAGCACGATAAAATTTCTGCGTTTTTTTTTACCTTAGTTTTATATGTTCTAAAATCCCTCTGACTGTTCAACTATGTAACATTCCACGTGGTTTGAAATTTATTATTAAAATAATATTTTAGTTTTCACAAGAATACCAAAATGGAAATGTCTGAAAAAAAAGGGTTCTTGTAATGTATATTTTTCCGCAATACACTTATTTGTACGTTTATTGACAGGTAATGGATAATTATTTTCCTTTTTGAAATGAGATACCATCAGTCTTGTTTTTCCAAACATATAACTGTTTACAACAAATACAATATAATGCAGAAATAACATCACATAAATCAGAACAAAATCTAAAGTTTATGAAAAATATTTTCTTACTAGTAAGGCCTCTAATATATTTACTGTATGCAATATGACCCTTCTCACAAATGTAAATTAGAAAAACAACAACAATTCTAAATAACGTTCGTGCTGATAGTAATGATTTTATATTACTTTTTATGATTACCATAACAATTGTTTTACTAGAGGATAAACTCGTGCATCGCTTACGATGTATGTGCTAAAATTATTTGACTACTGGAACACTGTTTATGAAAAAATATATAAAAATATTGATATAGACGGAACTGAGTCATCGACCTCCCGAATACGAAACGTATGCTTTACCACGTGAAACAAAAACCTACTAATCAGAACATACAGTTGATGTATTTAAAGTAACGAAGTGTAAAAACATGCTACTAATCAGAATATGGAGTTGTATTTAATATTAAAGTAAAGAAGTGTAAAAACATGCTACTAATCAGAATGTGGCGTTGTTGTATTTAGATTTAAAGTAACGAAGTGTAAAAACATGCTACTAATCAGAATGTAGAGTTGTTGTATTTGGATTTAAAGTAAAGAAGTGTAAAAACATGCTACTAATCAGAATGTGGAGTTGTTGTATTTAGATTTAAAGTAAAGAAGTGTAAAAACATGCTACTAATCAGAATATGGAGTTGTTGGATTTAGATTTAAAGTAAAGAAGTGTAAAAACATGCTACTAATCAGAATGTAGAGTTGTTGTATTTGGATTTAAAGTAAAGAAATGTAAAAACATGCTACTAATCAGAATATGGAGTCATGTTTAAATTTAAAGTAAAGAAGTGTAAAAACATGCTACTAATTAGAATGTGGAGTTGTTGTATTTAGATTTAAAGTAACGAAGTGTAAAAACATGCTATTAATCAGAATATGGAGTTGTTGTATTTAGATTTAAAGTAAAGAAGTGTAAAAACATGCTAATAATCAGAACATGCAGTTGTTGTATTTAGATTTAAAGTAACGAAGTGTAAAAACATGCTACTAATCAGAATATGGAGTTGTATTTAGATTTAAAGTAACGAAGTGTAAAAACATGCTACTAATCA